GTTAATAATAAGCTTTTGCCATTACTCTCATACTTCCCACTTATTGAGAGGCCCATATATTTAAATATGTGGGTAAATGCTTAAAATTTATTATATGTTAATTTCCTTAATCCATGCATGGCATGATTATAATCTACAACATCTCCCAAAACCATGCACTAGAAATTGATTGCTAGCTTTGGAAGGAATCTTGAGGGTTCTAACGTCATCAGTGGATTCATCCGTGTATTAACAAGGGGCTTGTTGAAGGGAGAATGTCATGGGGTGTAACACTGAGGGTTGTATCTTATTTCTGGATCTCTCCTCATCTTCTGTTTTCTCTATGCCCCCCGACTCCTTCTCCCCCTTCTCCACTCCTCCTCCACTGCTGTGAGGTGAGCAACATTGCCTTGCCACACTCTTTCAGCAGGAGGAACTGTCTCAGCACAGGACCTGAAACAAAGGAGCCACTATACCACTGAAGCTTCTGAATCCATTCGCTACAATAAAGCTTCTTTTCTTTAACTTGTTTTTCGCAAGTATTATGCCACAGCATCAGAAAGCAGATCAACACACTTACTGTGTATTTTTATGGGCAATGGGGTCAACATGTAAACCAGATATGACCCATTTCCATTAGAGAAATCATAATACAGATCTATTAATTGGATTTATTGACTTCATAATAATGACACACTTAGTAGATTGGTATATTATGTGTATGTTGAAGATGATGAAATGAAGATTCATAATTTACCAAAGGTTACAAGGAAGGGGAAAGAATTCAAAATCAACTCACTCTTACTCCCAAACCACACTCACCCTCCTGCAATACCAGTGTTTTAGATTTTGAGACAATCTGGACTCTGATGTGAGAGGGCCAAATGCGAGGCCAGCTCTGGGAGTCTTTGGTGTCTTTAGACTATCTGATACACTTGTCAGTTTTTAGGCAGGCAGGGTGAGTAGGATTCTTGGTTGATTTGGCTCATCCTTCCCATGAGTAAAAAACTTTAAGTCATCTTGAGGCTCAGATCTTTCAAAATGTATTAAAAATTCTTTCAGATGTTAATTTCATGTTATGTTATGGACCTCTACATAACTCATCATGAACTACTGAATGGTGTGTACTCACAACGTTGCACTATACAAGGTAATAATAGCAGGTGTTGAAATTGAGAAAGAGCAGAAAAGCAAACTTCTCATGCACATTCTCTGCATTAACACTTCTTTTGGCAACATGAGAAAAATAGCTGTAGTTCCATTTTAGTAAGAGAACCCTCATGGAGGTGCTGAAACAGGATTAGTAAACTTATTATTGTTGGATTTGTACCACTGACTGATTTCCTATTTAATGGCTCTTAATTTAGCCTCTGAGAAACCAGGTTTATGATATCATTTGGAGTAGAAATCTAGTTTAAGGATCACCTAAAATTCCCAAATATTAAATCTCCTGATATTTTCTATCTGTGTTAAATGACAAAAGCTCAAAAAAGTATTCTTTGGAGAACTTCCTTGCAGTTTTCTTCTCATTTAATTTAGTGCAATACTTCATAATGTTCATAATGGAATCATAATAAGTATACATTTAGGGTTTAGTGACATAAATAAAACAGCTAAAGAGTGACTTAGTAAGTACACATCTTAGGGCTTAAGAGGAACATATCTGTCATTTTAAGCAGGGAAACAACTTTTCCTTTCAGTTTAATAAGCTACAAGATCCCTGAGAGCACCATCATTGTCTAATAGTGCCTATGTATCTATAAAAGATGAGAAGAATCGAAGAAGGTGAAAATGTGTCAGCACCTACTCTATGTTAGGCTTTGTGTTCATATACTTCATCTTTTGTAAGTTGACAATGGCCTAAAAGGAATTCAATGTTAAAGTTTGGTCTAGATGTCCCCCTAAAACCTATGTGGTCATGGGCAGGAACTTTGGGAGGTGACTGGATCATAGAGGCATTATAGCTGACTTCCTTTTAGGATGTGTGGTCTCGTCAGAAGAAATGGGTCACTAGGGAGTGAGACAAACACATTTCCTTTCCCTGTTCCTCCTCCTCCTCCTCCTCCTCCTCCTCCTCCTCCTCTTCCTCCTCCTCCATCTTCCTTTCTCTTTCTCTCTCTCTCTCTCTCTCTCTTTGATTCCTGTCTTCTCTGACACTCCTCTGACACTCCCCTCTGCCATGCCATCCTGCCTTGCAATCAGATGACTACAAAGTGAAATCTTTACTAGCTATAAGCAAACAAACCTTTCCTCCCTTCATTTACAATGTTATTATTTTGTCTCAGGAAAGACTAAGACAGATTTTGCTACCAGGAGTGGGGTCATTGCTTTGAAGCTATCTGACCATTTGGTTTAGAAGCTTTTAGAATTGGCACACAGGGTATACTGAAAAAGTTTAGAGATGTCAGCTGGAGAAATAGCCCTAGAAAGCTATTAGCTGAGCCTGATGCAAGACTTGTCAGAGCTCAGAAGACAATAATGCAAATTACTTTTGCAGAGTAATTCACATCGTAAACAGTGAAGGTAAGACAAGAATCTGACTTTCTATCTCCACAATGAATATTTTTGCAGTGAAGCATTCTAGTCTTGGAAATTGGTGATTTCTAGACGACAGTATAAAGAATTTCAAGAAATATACTAAAATTTAATAAGAACAAATTAATTTTTAAAACTTCATCATAAATGCATGCCCACAACACTGTGTGGAAGAAAGGGCTTAATTAAATAGTATCAGGTCAAACAACTTCTCAAGAAGTTGACTTTCCTGGAATGAATGTACAGATTATACTTCCTATGTTGTCTGCACTTCTCACAGAGAAGCACCATTAAGTGAGGTGCTAGTCAGTAATAACTCCCACAAGGATTCCAGCTGAGATATCTAAACAGTATGGACAACTTCGAGAAACCTTCACTGCAATGCAAAGTATAGTGGGTAACAACTTTTAATTCAGCCAACCATTTAAAAGACTCAAAGTACAAACTTAACTTTTTCTAAATTCTAGGCCTTCTGTTCTAGAAATGTGCATTCACTCTTTTCAACTACAGTTTCTTCTGGCTGAATGGAGTATTTATACATAAAAAGTTCTGAGTTACAGCAATGTCTGGCTGTAATATTACAGTGACTTAGAAGAGAGAGAGAGAGAGAGACAGAGACAGAGAGAGAGAGACAGAGAGACTGAGAGACAGAGAGAGAGAGAGAGAGAGAGAGAAGGAGAGCCCATATACATATATTGTCAGGTTATATACTCTACCTACCATTGCTTAGTTCAGGGACTCATTGGCCCCTGAAATCTCATCTATTTAATAAACCTTAAGCTCTTTAGGAGGCCTGGCTGGAATCAAATGTAAGGTGTACAAAGTCAGTCCTGTTCAATAAATGGAATCCCAATTATTCATTCGATTCATGTCCAGCCACACTGCTTAGCTATAAGAGATACACAGACTGACTCTTAGATCTGTTGCTCAACAGCACACAACGTATAATTGAAAAACATGGTGAACACTTTAAGTTACTATAGTAAAATAAACATTACGCATTACCTATCATAACTGCCTTGGTGTTCTGACCTTTCAAGGTCAATCTGACTTTTGAGAAGAACCAGATGTCTTAGGCTGCCAGACCAAGTGAACAAGGCTAATATGGACACATTGCGATATTCTTTTTTTTTTTTTTTTTTTTTTTTTTTTTATTTAAGGAGAAAAGAAAAGAAAGAAAAAAAAACAGTGAAGGGGTACAAGTTATACAGATTTACAGGAGAAAAAAATGCGCAGTAGGCAATCACTAGTTAATGGATTACATATTGCCATCTTAGAAATAATTGTTCAAGTCACAAAATTAAAGCTTGTAGAGTGGACATTCCAACAATGATACTGCAAACAGTTCTGTTCAATGATCCAATAAAACTCTGTGATATCATTTTATATCTTATACATTTAAATATACATGCAGTTATATAGTTTAGAGCACTTTCTTTTCCTCTCTTTTGTGCAATGACTATTACACATTTTGGGTTTAATTGCTCCCACGGTTCTTATTGCTTTTTTGGAAGAGAGTAAAACCAAATGTGACATAACAGAACAGAATCAGTCAAGTCAAAAGGGTGGACATAATAGATAATATAAAAACATAATACAAGGTGATCAACAATGGTTACCATAATGCCTCCCGCTATTTCTAATAGAATTGCCTATATCATTAGTTGTTATACAATTGAACAAAACCGTAAAGAATAAAACCGACAAAACCAAAACATTGGAGATATTGTAGGTCTTCAAAAGTAGATAAAAGTCAACGAGAATGGGCGTTATAATGAATCTCATTATCTTCTCAGCTGATGCCTAAACTTTCAAACCTGATACTATCCAGCAAAACAGAATAGAGGAACCTCAGTCAAAAACAAGATGGTGAGAGTAATACAGGGCTTCAAATCGAGATAATAGAAAGTCAAAGTGGGTTACTATATTATATCCTGCTATATTTTTCCCTTTAATTAAATGGATAAAAATAAAAAAGTAAATAATGGAGTGGAGATTGAGAAAAAAGAGGGCATAACAGCGAAACAGGACAGATCAAAACATAACCATTTAAGCAGAATAGTGTTTCACCACCAGATAATCCTGACCCAAAAATAGTTACCATATTGACTCCCTCCCTGAAGTCCTTGAGTACAATTTCATATACTGTAGCATTAAGTATATCAAAACAATGTAAAACAATTTAAGAGAATGACAGCATTATAGAGTATTTAGAATCGACTAACAGAAAATGAACAATGGTCTCTGTATAATCTCCTTGTCCTTAAAAGGTTTTTGCTTATACTATCGTACATAACAAAATCCAATAAGATACAACCTGTTTAGACCATTGGAGACAGAAGAACAAAAGCTAGATGAGACTTCAAAACAAGATGGTACTAAATCAGCATTACCTATTAAGATGTCATTTTCTCCAAAAAAAGCTGTTCCTATCATCCAATCTTCTCTGTCTCATTTCTGTTGAGCTCTTTTTCTGTCAGTAGCTGTCAGTTTGTCTTCTACATTTTGTTCTCTGCTCCATTCGTTGTGGCCTCCCCGCCACTATTTCTGGGTTCTTTGTATTTTTCTTTTTTTAGAATATCCTGCAATACTTTCTGTAGGGTTGAATTGGTGGTTGCAAATTCCCCCAGTTCCTCTTTATCCTGGAAGCATCTTGTTTTTCCATCAATTTCCAGGGACAGTTGTGCAGGATATCTCAATCTTGGCTGGAGATTATTATCTTTCAAAGCTTGAATTATTTCTCCCCATGCTCTTCGTGATTTGATGGTTTGTGAAGAGAAATCTGCTGTAATTCTGATGGGTATTCCCTTGTAAGTAGTCTGTTTCTTGTCTCTTACAGCTTTTAATATTCTGTTCTTGTATTGAATTTCTGGAATTTTTATTATTATATGCCTGGGTGTTTCTCTGTTAGGGTTGTAGGTAGCTGGGGTCCTGTATGCCTCATACATCTGAGTATCTTTACCTTTTGCTAAATTAGGAAAATTCTCCTGGATTATTTCTGTGAGTAGCTTTTGTAGTTCACTTGTTTGTGTCCCTACTTCTTCTTTTATGTTCTTAATCCTTAAGTTATGGCTCCTCTTATCATCTTCTTGTCTTTGTATTATTGCTGTGTGTTTCTTTGTTATTTTTAAGAAGTTTTTCATTTCATTCTCCCATGTTTCAAGTCTGCCCTCCAATTCAGATAGTCTGTCCTTAGTTTCTTTCAAGCTGTTATGCCAGTCTTGGATAGACTTCTTAATTTCTTGATAGTCTCTTTGAACCTGCTTCACATACTCAATGCTTTCTCTGTTTTCTCCATCAAGCAATTCTCCCCTCTTTTTCTGTTGTTCCATTCCACCATCTGCTTTTTCCTGGGCGGTGCTTAGCATTTCTCTAACTATTCTGCATACTTCTAGCTTCAGGTCATTGATAACTTCATTCCTGAATTGGTCTATGAGGCTCTCTAGATGGCACTTAATGTATATTGGTGCGGTGTCCACTATTGCCTGTTTCTCAGGATTGGGGGCCGAGGAGCCTTTTTTGTTGCTTCCCTTCCCCATATTTTCTGTTCCTTATAAAATGCAATCTTACATAGGAGGCCCGGCTTCCCTGCCTGTCAGCCACAGCCTGATCAAATTGTGCTGGCTAGTTGTTCCCGCCCACTGCTGCGCCCCAGGGAGTTGCGGAGGAGGCAGCCTACGCGAGAGTCGGTCGCTCCTCCGGGCCACCGTCAGGCTCTGGGATCTGGGTTAGGCCAGCCTAGGGAGTCCGCCAGCAGCGTCACTCAGGCCAGGCACCTTTCACCAATCCCGTCCGAGAGGGGAATGTGCGGCTGGAGTTGTCACCGCGCCCTGCTCTCACAGGACTGCCCGAGCCCAGAAAAACCTCCGCTGGAGTCAAACTGTGGTAGGGGATCAGTTTCTTGCTCACCTCGCCACCAGTCAGTTTTCCTCCCTGTCCGTCCTGCCTCCGACTCCGTTCGCAGACTCCCGTTCCCAGAGCTCGGCGCGTCTCTCCTTGCCGAGCCGCTGTGGAGGCAGCCAGCCGCTGGGTGGCGGGAAATCCAAACCGCGGTTTCCAATGGCGCGGGGTCGAGCCTCCACACCGAGATTTTTCTGTTCCTATTTTAGCGCCAGGACTGTATTCTAAGTTAGATTCTCTCAGCCCAGTTCGTTCCTGAGTCAGCAGAGCATATCTCTACTGGTTCGTATCTCCTTAGTCCGCATCATTCCTGGCCTCTGAGCCGAGCCTTTAGAGAGCCTTCAGTAGCTGCTGCTGTCTGTCCGCCATGTTCTCAGGAAGTCCTCACATTGCGATATTCTTATGAGCCTGCCTTTATTTTGCAAACCACTCAGCAGCAGCAGGTCCTGCATTTTAATCACATCTTGTAAAGATGCTCATGACAGATTTCCAGAACTCCTACAGAAAGTAGCAATAACGATAGGAAAGGTATGTTTAAATCAAAAGAGGCATCTTGAAGAGAAACAACAAGGAGTATTTTATTGTAACACCATTTTAATTTCAATATATGTTCCATATTTCAATCATCTATTGTATTGTGTATTCCTGTGTGCATATTTTCATTTTACAGCACAAAGAGATATGAGAAAAGACTCTATCAGTCCTATAAAGAGAACCATATTGTATTTCTATAGTCTGTTAGAATCAGTAGACTCCAATCCTAGTAGAATTATTATTCATTACTTACCTAATGAAACAGAAAAGATTAGACTGAAGTCAAATGGTTCTCTCTAAATCTGACTCTAGGACTTGTTCACTTGATAACTTTTGGCAAATTAGTTAAGCTCTTGTGTCTGTGTGTACAATGGGAGATATTTGTGGTGAAGATAAAATGAAATAACAGATCTAACAGGTACAAAACAAGGCATACCACATGGCAAGCTCTGCAGAGTTGTCAGCCAATGTTTGCATCACTCATCCATGCTACAAGCAAAGATCTTCTACACAGAGATTTACACGCATCGTGGTAAGAGGTGCAGGAAACATGGACCAGAATAAACCACTTCCCACAAAAAGGCACCTGAATAAACACACTTCCCACTAAAAGAAGAACTTATTTAAACAAGAAAAGCAACAAATCTGTTGCAGAAAAATATTCACAGATTATAACTTTAAATAAAGCAAGAAATCTGCTAAATAATATAACCTGTAGAATTTTAGAAATGGTCCTTTCCACAGCACACAAATACAGCATTCTCCCACGCATTTTTCATTTGCCCTCAGGTGGTTTCTGACACCTTTGTTTCCACGTTTTTCCTAGAAATACAGAGCACCTGCTCTTGGCAGAATTCCTGCACCACTTTCTTCTTTGTCAAAAACACTCTAGGAAGAAGTCCCGTGGGCACCGTGACATGTCTTCTACCCAATATATGAAAGGTTTCAGCAAAGCAAACTGGACTCACTTCAACACAGAGTGCTTTGACCCATTCTGGACAGAAGGACTGAAACACTATTGTAAAATTCAACACTTTCAGAAAACATCAGCCTGAAAACTTGGGAAGTTTCCAGTCACCCATGGGGTAAGAATCTAGGCCATCTGGCTTAACAGGCTGTCCAGAAATCTCCCTTCATCATTTGCTTCCCTTGTCCTTGTCAGAATGCTCATATTTAAATACTAAAACTTCACTACAAATGCCCCTTTCAGATTTTGAAGGAAAAAAACCCCGAGAGATAAAACAATCGAAGTAATCCTAGTAAAATACTTTCACTAAGCTAATTTTTTTACTGTGCAGCAAAAGAAAGGGAAGAAAACAGAACTATATTTAAGACCTATTGGGTGCTGGACAATCTCATGCTCTGGTCAGTCAGGCCTTCATGAAGGGCAGGCAGGAAATAGCCTAGGTTTTATGTATGTACCCAGCACCAAGAACACTGCCGGGTACATAAGGACTCTCAATGAATACACACCAGAGGAATGACAGCAAATTCTATTTCACAAAGCAGTAAGCTCAGGTCTTGGCCACTTTCCTCACTGCTGAGCTACCATGCCTGCCACTCACAAATTTAGAGAAAGAAAGCTTCATTTTGGTGTGCAGTTCCAGTCCATACTCATCTGGCTCCGTGACAAGTCCACATGGCAGAGGGGCACGGGCAGAGGATGAGCTGCTTGTGACTGCTCATAGCATGTATGGCCTGGTATTGGGGAAAGAGAAGCAGAGAGCTCAAGAGGGCAGGCAGGATGAGAGATACATCCTCAGAGGCCACCTCCACAGTGACTGCCTCTTTGGACACCATCCCACCTCCTACCTGCAAGTCACCTATGATTCCTCCAAAACCCCATGCCTTTCCAAAAGCCCATTGATAACTGCAGGAGTGTTGGGGGACACCTAGATATAAGCATAAGCTGACAAACACAAAGAGATATTATCAATCTTCTCAAAATAGTCAGGTGAAAGAAAAGCCAGATTGAAAAGTCTAAACCCACAGCTCCTACTTTTCACCTGTTTCATCTTGTACTTCTTTGTGGTGTGCTAAAAACAAAGCAAAAGTAGAAGCAGGCCATATCTTTCTATCTTTCTATCAACTCCACAAACACTGTACGAGGAGAAAGAGAAACAGTTTTTATGGACAACAGATAATACAAACAGTCGGGGACCTGCCTGTGAACGCAGGCCCAATGTTGGCTCTTCAGGTTTCCTATCGCAGCCATCCAGCAGTGCACTGGAACAGGGAGACACAAGGGGTTTGTGAAGGGACTGGGAGCTTGAATTTAAGGTAAAGTGCAAAACACTGCCATCAGTTGTCACTCAGATATCCACCCTGACAAGGCTTTGTTTCTTTACCAGCAAGGGCTCCAGAGCAAAGGAACACAAGGGAACAATCAAGTTTGATGAACTGTATTCATTTACAAGCAAACCAGGTCACAACTACAGACACACTCAGGTACCTTATCTTTGACAAAGGGGCCAAATATGTCCATAGCCTGTTTAATAAATGGTTCTGGGAAAACTGGCTTTCCCCACACAAAAGAATAAAACTAGACCCAGGTCTGTCACCTGGCACTAAACTAAAGTCAAAGTGGATCAAAAGTCTAAATATTAAAAGAGAAACACTGCATCTACTGGAAGACAGAAATCTTAATGATATAGGGGTAGGCAGATTGTTCCTGAACAAAACCCTGATTACACAGGAAGTACTTTAAAGAATCAGTGCATGGGATCTTACCTTATTAAAAAGTGTTGTATATTAAAAGAAATCACTAACAAAGTGCAAATAAAACACACAGAGTAGAAAAACATTTTAGCAAATCCTCAAACAAAGGATTCCTATCAGAAAATATAAAGAATTTTAAAAACTCAGACCCAATCCAAAAATAGGTATCTGAAATGAATACACACGTCTCAGATGAATTAGTATAAAAGGTAAATGAATACATGAAAAAATGTTTAACATCATTGGTCACTCAAGAAATACAAATTAAGCAACACTGAATTCCATCTTATCCCAGAAAAAATGACTGTCATCAAGAAATCGACGAATAACAAATGCTGGAGGGACTGTGGGAAAAAGGAGCCCTTCTCCACTGCTGATAGGAGTGTGAATCTGCACAGCCACCGTGAAAATCAGTGTGGAAATTCCTCAGAAGGTTAGTATTAACGATCTCACTCAACCTAGCTATTCCCCTTCTGGGTATTTTCCCAGAAGAATTAAAAACATCACACCGCTGTGATATACATGCACAACCCTGTTGATTGCAGCACAATTTACAATAGATAAATCTTGGAAATAATGTAAATGTCAATTAACTGAGGAATAGATAAGAAAGCTGTGAGCTTTTTTGTAACAGAGTACTACTCAGCTATGAAGAAGGGTAAACTTGAGGCTTTTACAGGTAAATGAATACATTCAAAATTACAAGTGAACCAGGGATGCACAGGGCAGACATGGATGAGTCCTCTACAAAGGAAATGCTCATAAATGGCTCTCTCAAGACTATTTAGAAGAACAAGGAAAAAGACTTTGTCTTATTTGTTTGATTTTTTTCAAGGGTATTTCTTCTTTTTTCTGTATCACATATAATGTCAAAACATTTGATCACAAAACTTATTCAGTGGAGTAGGGAAGACATATTTCTCCCCCGTTTCATGCGAAACCTTTTGCCCTCTTTTATAAAAACAAAATGAATTCAGAGTTAAAGCAAGCAGTGTCCCCTCAGAACATTTAATCCTGTTAACATGCAGTACTGTATAACACAGCTATAATTAGATTTCTCTTCGAATTCAATGTATGCAATCCAAAGCCAAGTTGCCAGAAAGATAAAAATGAAATCCATTATCCAGAGTGGCAAAACTTAATCAACAGTTTGCATCTGTGTTTAAGCTTCTTAATACTTCTCTAAACATCCTCACTGAACTAACGTGGAAAATAACTTCCATAGCGACAAGAACATGCCAAAGGTATTGTAGCAAACCAAGCACAGAAGCACACTCCTCAATTCATTCTAGCAAAGCCAAGATCAGTGTGACAGGAGGCCCAAGGTGACATCTGAAAAATGTATGCAGAAATTACATAACAAAAGGCAGGACACTGCATGCACTTGGCTGCCCTAAAACCTTGCCTTATATCAAGCCAGTGAGAACCAAACCGCTCAAAGGTCTCTCTCAGATAGTAAGTTTCTAACTATTCCACTGGCATCTGGAGTTGATTAATCCATTAGGTTTATGGGCCTATAACTGTTTTAAGAGCCCATAAGAACCTCTGAGACCTGTAAAAGAAATGTAGTCAAAAATACAAAAAAAGATAACTATTTAATCAATATTAACATACATTTATTTTTCTAAAAAATATTCATAGCACATATTTTCCAAATTATTAAATTCATTGTAACAATTTTGCATCAAAAATACAAAAAGAAAACTAAAAAAAGTAGTATCAGTATGTGTTGCTTTGTCTACACAATGTTTTATTGAAGTCTGTGCCATTAAATTCACAAATTGTCAAGTATCTTTACATCAAAAACACTGTGCAGGTTAGATTTCTGGCATTTTACCTTCACGCCTAACAATGGCTGAGAAATCAAGGCCATCCATGAATTAAATGTGGAATATGGGTCAAATCTTTTCAAAAGCAAAATTATTAAACTCCTTTAAGTTTCTGCAGTAGCCAGAGCTATTTTAAAAAGGACGTGTGCGTATTTTATTATGGTAAAGATGTCAGAGATGAAATGGGTTAGATCCTCTAACACAAGGGTGCTGAAGGCTTTCAGAGAGGCTAAACACCACCTCTGGTCCGCAGCATCCAGTCCTCTCTCCTTTCCTCTTTCCTTCCTCCATGGCCCTGACAGGGACTTCTGGGAAATGCTAGGGTATCAGACCACTTCTCTGCTGTGCGCCTGACTGGCCCCTCCACTCAGGCAGGATAAAGTCAAGACTCCCATACGTGTTCAGTCTCATCTTGCA